TTTTTTTAGAGAGACATTGTTAAAATTCGTATTGGTAAGGCTGCCCCCTTTAGCTTGAGCCAAATTTTATGAAAAGCTTAATCGTTTTTACTTTGACTTTTTCATGTGTATTTAAACTTACGGAGAGAGTTTCCATTCTCTTATATTACCAAAGTCTAAACAACAATTTTTCTAAAGAGGAATGCCTCCGGGCCAGTTGGTACAGCAATTATCAATTATATTTGGCTTCATTTAATTGTTTGCAAAATTAGCTTTTTAAAGTACCATTTAATTCTCTTTCCAGTCTCACTTCTCAAGAAGGTAATTAATGAACTAACTATAATTACATGTGAATAATAAAGCACAGGGAACTTTTAAATTAAATCATCACTGAACTTTTCTATGCTATCAGTTGGCACTCAGGTACTGCGGGACACTGCATATGTGAGAAAATTCAGGGCATTCCTGCTGATGCTGCACCCCCCTCATTTGTCACTGTGAGCAGTTACATGTCTATCTAACAGATTAACATAATCAAAATGTCCCATCTGAGTTAATTTCTCAAGCCTATGGGCTATCAGAAAAGTATTTTAAAATGTAATTTAAAATGCTAGGAGCCACAAAAAATAAATGTCAGCATCGATCTGCCTAGTCCCTGTGAAGTGTCCAGAGGCTCTCCACACTCATTTCATACCCCATTTGGGCATGTGCCTGCAGCCCAGACCTCAGAGCTCACCTCGTATAGAACTTTACGAAATAAAAAAAGGAGCTTCTCTCCAGAAAAATGTTGAACAACCCACTAAAAAATATCTGTGAGTCTCTTTTCTGGAGGGTTGTAGGTATATGAAAAGACATTTTCACTTATGGCAGCCTTAAAAAATGTAATTTGTTAGCATTGTTTCTTTTGTATTGCAAATAATAGCTACTATTTTGGAAGCATCGATAAATACAGAAAAGCACAAAAAAGTTCCAATCAATGTTCTGTAATCCAATTACCATAGCTAATTACTAACATTTTGAAATGTATACATACGTATATCTGTGTGTGTATATATATAACACATACGTACATACATTGAGATCACATTATTCATATTTACCCATTTCTTATGGTTGTTTTCTTAAACATTTTTAATGGCTATAGAGTGTTTCATCCAGATATGCCACAATTTACGTAATCAATCACTTATCATTGGACGTGGAGGTTTTAAACTTTTCACTATTTTGAAAATTTTTTATTAAGTAACACTTTTGCCTATATCTCTGATTATTTCCTAAGTATCAAATTTTAGAACTAGTAAGTCTAGCTAAGGAGTTTGTCAATTTTATTTATCTTTAAAAAAAAAAGTCTTCTTAATTTCATTGATGTTTTTTCCTATTGTGTTTCTAGTCTCTGTTTCATTTATTTCTGCTCCAATCTTTAATTTTCCTTTAGTCTGAAAACTTTGGGTTTAGTTTGTTCCTTTTCTACTTCCTTGAGGTATAAGGCTAGGTTGGTTGTTTGAGCTGTTTCTTTTTTAATGTGCATATTTATCACTATAAACTGCTCTCTCAGTTGCTTTTGCTGCATCCCCTAAGTTTCAGGTGTGTTTTATTTTCATTTTCATTTTTCTCAAGGTATTCTTTAATTTCTCTTTTGATTCCTTCTTTGAACCAATGTCTGTTAAAGGGTATATTGTTTAGTTTCCACATATTGTGAATTTTCCAGTTGTCCTTCTGCTATTGATTTCTAGTTTCATTCCATTGTGGTTGGAAGAGATATTTGATATGATATCAACCTTTTTATAAATTTGTTGAGACTTGTTTTATGATCTAAAATATGATCTAAAATGTGATCTGTCCTGGATAATGTTCCATGTGTATTTGAAAAGAACGTGTATTCTGCTGTTGCTGGATGGAATGTTGTGTTTATGTTGGCTAGAACCATGTGGTCTGTAGTATATTTCAAGCCCACTCTTCCTTTATTGATTTTCTCCCTGAATGTTCTATCCTTTGTAAGTGGGGTATTGAAGTCTCTTCTTTTATTGTATTGCAGTCTATTCCCCCTTTCAGATCTGTCAATGCTTGCTTTATATATTTAGTTATAGAGATGTTGGGTGCTTATAGATTTATAATTATTATATCTTCCTGATAAATTGAGCCTTTTATCATTATATATAATGATATATATACATATATTGTGACTTTATAACCATTTTTTACTTAAAGTCTATTTTGTCTGATATAAATATAGCTGTCTCTGCTTTCTTTTTCTTACCATTGCGTGGAATATCTTTTTCCATCCCTTTCCTTTTCACCTATGTGTGTCTTTAATTCTAAAGTGAGTCTTTTCTAGATAGTGTATAGTTGGATTTTTTATAAAAAATCGTTCAACTACTCTCTGACTTTTGACTGGAGAGTTTAATCCATTTACATTTAAAATAACTATTGGTAAAGACTTACTATTGCCATTTTGTTCTTTTTTTGTTTGATTTGTCATTCTTTTGTCTCTTTTTTTTACTTACCTTTTTTTTTTGCGATTTGTTGATTTTTTTGTAGTTATACGCTTTAATTTCTTTCTCTTTGCTTTTGTGTGTCATCTATAGGTATTTTCTTTGTGGTTACCATGCACCTTAAATAAAACATCTTATAACAACAACTGTCTATTTTAATGACAATTTAACTTCAATTGCATATAAAAACTCTATACTTCTATATTTTTACCTCTCCCTCCTGCACTTTATGTTATTGATGTAACATTTTACACCTTTTTATATTGTATATCCATTAACCAAGTTTCATAGTTATAGTTATTCTTAGTACTTTTGTCTATTAGTTTTATACTAGAGGACAATATGGGACAACCTAGGTAAAACTGGAGGACATTATGTCAAATGAAATAAGCCAATTACAGCAGGCCAAATACTGCATGAATCTACTCATAAGGCAGTAAAAATAGCCAGATTCAAAGAAATGAAGAACAGAATGGTAGTTATGAAGGGCTGGAGGTAGCCCCCTCTGAGCGAGGGAGAAATGGAAGTTGTTCAGTGGATATAAGGTTTTAGTTATGCAAAATGAAGTACATAAATTAGAGATCTATTGTTAAAAAAAGGACACAAGGAAACTTTTGGAGGCGATGGAAATGTCTATTACTTTATGGTGGTAGTTTCACAAGAGTATGCATATGCTCAAACACATCAAATTATATGCATTAAATATGTGCCGTTTCTTGTGTATCAATTATACCTTCATAAAGCTGTTTAAAAATAAAATTAATGCTGGTAGGTGTATTAGTTTTCTGTCACCTTTAAAGGCATTACCACATTTTAGTAGCTTAAGACAAAACTTCTGTATTAAGTCACAGTTCTAGAGGGCAGAAGTCTGGGCATAGTGTGGCTGTTACCTGCTTAGGTTCCTTCAAGGCTGAAATCTAAGTGTCTGCTGGCTGTGTCCTCATCTGGATCCCGAGGTTCTCCTCTAGACTCATGTATTTGAGTCAGAGTTCAGTTCCCTGCAGCTGTAGGATTGAAGTTTCTGTTTCTTTGATGGCTGTCAGCTGGACACCACTTTTCCTATTTCTTGTCACATGACCCTCTTAATCTTTATAACATGAAGTGGGCAGTCTTTCTGTGTTAGTCTGCTGGGGCTGCCATGACAAAACACCACAGACAGAGTGGCTTAAACAACAGGAATTTATTTTCTCACGGTTTCGGAGGCTAGAAGTTTAAGATCAAGGTGCTTTCAGGGTTGGTTTCTGGTGAGGCCTTTCTTCCTGCCTTGTAAATGGCTGCTTTTTCGTTGTGGCCTCACATGGCCTTTCCTCTGTGTGTGTGTGCAGGTGTTGGGGGAAAGGTTCTCTGGTGGCTCTTTCTCTTCTTATAAAGACGCTAGTTATACTGAATTAAGGCCCCATATTTATAACCACATTTAACCTTAATCTCCTTATAGGTCCTGTCTCCAAATACAGTCACAGTAGGGATTAGGGTTTCAACATATGAATTTGGGAGGGTGGTGGTCACAATTTAGTCTGCCCTGTCAAATTCCCTCCTGCTTTGTTGAATTCCCGTGTGCTTTGAATTGTCTCACTAGGGAAAATACAGATATTTTAAGGGCCCATCTGATTAGGTCAGACCCACTGAGAATAATCTTCCTATCTTAAAGCCATCCGATTTGGAACCTTACTTACCTCTGGAAAACCCCTTCAGAGTAGCACCTAGACTACTTTTAAACTGAGTAACTGGAAGCTCATAGTGCAAATGCAGACGTTATGTTACGCTGGGGGAGGGAGGAACGTTGGGGGTGGTCTGAGAATTTGGCCTACCACACCGAGTCAGAGCGTATTGCCGTGTGACACTAGTGTGCCGAGAGTGAGACTGGACATTCAGTGTCAGCTCTGCCACTAACTATGTGAGTCCCGTTCTCTCTCCGGGGCTCAGTTTTCTTGTCTGGAAGTGGTAATGACCCCTGTTGTTCCGATTTTCTGACCCGATCCGTTGGTTTTTAGGAAGCAAGAATCCCCTTTTTGTGCTGCTTACCAGTTTTTCTTTCTTTTGCACTTTGTCCACACTTGTCCTTTCCTGCTAGATGCTGACAGAAGTGGCAGTTTCCTCCAAGTTTAAAAAAGAATAACTGCACAAAGGTGAAAAAAAAAAAGTAGAGCTTAATTTTTCCCTTCTAAAAAGCCTCACACTGGTTAGAATTCCCAGGGCACTTGTAATGTGCCCCTGACTTGAATTGTGCCCCTGACTTGAATTGTGCTCCTGGAGCTTCTTTAGATGGTAGTAGCTCAGGTCCATAAGGCTATATTTCAACACTAGATGACAGGCATTTGGGGAGATTTTAGTATTTTTTAGGATTGTCCTTGTCATTTAATAGGTTCCTTCAAAAGAGCAGAACACAGCATGGTAGTACAGAGACCTAGCCCGAGAATGTCTGATCTCTTGCTTTCATACTGAATGACTACTCTGTCCCTCCTGGGGGGTTCCTGATGCCTGTTTTCCCATCCCAATCCTTTCTTTTACGTGCCGCCACCCCCCCTGCAGTGCCCACCAACGCATCGTCAGCAGCCGCTGTTGAGTTTACACAGAACTGGCAGGCATCCCAACGGCCCAAAGCAGAGGAAAAAGGAATTCACCTCCATCTGCATTATCAGCTCGTAGTGATTCCCAATAACAAACTCTTCAGCTTTGCAAACAGCTAAAGTGTGCATTGTCCATTATGCATGACATTATCCAATTATACATTTCCTGAAGTTCTTTTAGGAGTATAGGGCCTTTACATATGATTTCAATGCACCCTGAGCACTTGTCTATGGTAGAAGATTATGTTTGGAACCAGTGCAGAGAAAAATGTTTATAATGCTTAACTTGCTCTATTTTTTAAAGGTGAGTAATTGGTATTTGATTATTCTAGTGCACAGTCATAATTTCCATCTCAACATGTGCTTTATATTGCTGGTTTCATTCACCCAGTGTAGCAGGTGACAATACTAATGATATATGATAACTTCTAATGGATATTTACTAGATTTCAGGTACTGGACTAAGCATTTTACATGTATTATCTCAATTACTCCTAATAAAAGCACAATTAAGTAGGTATTGTGATTATCCTATTTTTCCATATGAGGAAACTAAACACAGAGAACCTAAGTAACCATGTCCAGCTTACAGAAATAATAAGTTGTAAAGGTAATAGATGAATCAATTATTTCTGAGACCAGAGATCGTTCTCTGTTGGAATACATTATGAAATATTTTAATAGATTTTGGGGGCTGGTTTTGCCTAGAAACATAATGTGGGAGAGTAGATCGAGTGAAGGCTAAGGATCTCCACAGGATTGTATTCAAATTCCATTTCAGTCACTTACTAGTTCGTGGCTGTGTCTAAAGTACTTACTGTTTGTAACTTGGTTTCCTTATCTCTCAATGAGGAAATAAAATATTCTATGATGGATATATTGTTTTTATTTCACATGACATATGTAATCAATTAAGAATAGCCCTCTGGATCTCTGTACTGAGATGGATGAAATTGCCTTTTCAATGGGAAACTATTGTGGTAGATTAGTAGTGTCCATGGTAGACACTGAATTGGGTAGAGTCATTGTGGGTACTACATACTTGCTATCCCTACCTTGGCTGCTGCATAATGGAACCTGAGAGACAGGAGGTAAAGGTTCCCTTCTCCTATTATCAGATTTTCTAATTCCATGAGTATATATTTAGAATGCAATTCAGCATTTAAGCTTCTTTTATTTGTCAAACATTGAGTTAGCTGCTATGTGAAATAAGATGAAGTGTCATCAGTGAGTTCCAAGAGTTCATGTTTGAGTCTAACTGTGGGACGGAAAAAGAGAGAAAAAAGTCAGGCAATGGCTAACTCTTGGATGGGGAATAGTATCATAAAAATGGAAAATTCTCAATCCATTATTTTATAACAGAATAATCTCTTGCTCCATAAGTTTAGAACTTACATGGAAATTAATAGGTAAAATGTCAGCAGCAAAGTGTAACCTGACAGGTAAGAATTAATTTACTCTCGTCCCAATATTTTCAGCACATGTAAACTCTTTATTATCCCCACTTTTCCCTAATTTATTTCCCCAGCTGCTTGTCTTATCCCCAAATACTGGCTCAGGATACATGAACCGAGATCTCCTAGAGAAAGAATCAGACAAAAAAATCCCTGAATAAACATGTGTATAGGGTTTCATTTGTCTCTAGGTCCAGCCTGGACCTACAACAGGCCTCACTCTCCACAGCTGTATGGATTGGGCATCTGCTTTGTGCTCTGGTTAGGCCCCATGCAGGTTCAACAGTCCTGGCAGGACAGGTGACAGATGAGCTTAGAGCGACATTTCAAAACATCTTCCCGAGACACGCTCACATATTTGGGCTCTCTTCCCAGTGCCCCAACAGCAAGAGCACCTTATCTGCCACCTCCTCACCCTGGAGTTTTTGAGCACCAGCTCAGCTCTCTTTTCTAAAATGTGTTTTTTTCAAGTGGTTATTAAGTTATTGGGGTGTATGTTCCCAGGGGGAATGGAGCAGGTCACATTCTAGACTTCAAGGATGTTAGGAGAGGAGGGTAGAGTCTTTTCTTCAGACGAGTATTTTCTTTCCAAGGACTACATGGGCACTAGATAGTCTGGACTATGTATAGTGGTTTAACCTGATCAGAGGTAGAGAGGTAGATATCATTCACTAGATCTGGGAAAATCAAGTACCCCTATCAGAATTATAACTGACAATCAGAGAAAGACAAATATCATATGATCTCACTGATATGAGGAATTCTTAACCTCAGGAAACAAACTGAGGGTTGCTGGAGTGGTGGGGGTTGGGAGGGATGGGGTAGCTGGGTGATAGACATTGGGGAGGGTATGTGCTATGGTGAGCGCTGTGAATTGTGCAAGACTGTTGAATCACAGACTTGTACCTCTGAAACAAATAATACATTTTATGTTAAAATAAAAAAAGAAGATAGTTGGAAGGGAAAAATGAAGGGGGGGAAATCGGAGGGGGAGATGAACCATGAGAGACTATGGACTCTGAGAAACAAACTGAGGGTTCTAGAGGGGAGGGGGATGGGGGGATGGGTTAGCCCGGTGATGGGTATTAAGGAGGGCACATATTGCATGGAGCACTGGGTGTTACACGCAAACAGTGCATCATGGAACACTACATCAAAAACTAATGATGTAATGTCTGGTGACTAGCATAACATAATAGAATAAAAAAAAAAGAACTATAACTGACCCTTGAACAATGTGGTTTTGAACTGCACAGGTCTGCTTACACGCAGATTTTTTTTTTCATACAGTACAGTGCTGTAAATATATTTTCTCTCCCCTAGGAGTTTCTTAATAACATTTCCTTTTCTCTAGTTTTCTTTATCATAGGAATATAGTATATAATACATGTAACATACAAAACATGTGTTCATCGACCACTTATGTTGTCAATAAGGCTTCTGCTGAGCAGTAGGCTATTAGTTGTTAAGTTTTTAGGGAATCAAAGGCTATATGCAGATTTTTGACTGCAGAAGGGGTCAGCACCCCTAAGCCCTGCCTTGTTCAAGGGTTGGCTGTACCAGTTTTAGCTTTTTCATCAAGGGGCTTGATGAAATAAGTTGGTTCCAGAGGCAGGAAATGGATGCATTTGAGGGCGTACATGCATAAGCGTGTGTGTGTTTCATACATTCTTTACCTAGCAGGTCTCACTTTGTGTTTGGGTATCTTGGTTCTTGGAGGCTTAGTAGATTCTATTATACTTGAAATGTTTAATTGGAGAATAATGAATGACTCCAGCTTTAATCTACATTAATTATAAAAACAGAGACATTGAGTTCTTTTTGTAGCATTTTTAATTTTATGCATTACTATATTTATTTTTTAAGAGACTTTGCCCTATTAATGCACTTGATGTTTCTCAGGGGGTTATTAAATTTTCCAGACATTTTGTTTTTCATTATCATGCCTTAATAATGCCACATTTCTTTCAAAGACTTAAAGAATAATGATAGTTTGGGTCTCTTGCAAATACCCATTTCTGATATGACCTTGTTAACTTTCTTTTCCTTCCTTAACTTTCCTTTCTAACATAGAATTACCAGTGTCTTCACTTTAGGAATGTCATAGGGATGGTTGGATTCCACACGAACAAATGTATACTAGTGTTAACAGTCTGGTTGTCCTTAGGGTAACTTTGCCTAACTTTAGGCACTAAGTAATTGCTGCAGTTAAAGAAATTTCTCTCCCAAATAGTTATGCGCTTCAATCCACATGCCCACCTCTGCATTAAGTGTTAGGGATACTGCATGAACAACAATAAAGGCACATGCATGCACATAAACACACACACACACTATCGAGCTGCCTGTGTTAGGTTTTTATTGTTTATTACCACAAACCTCGTGGTTTAAAACAAAACATATACATCATCTCATGATTTCACAGGTGGCTCAGTTGGTTCTCTACTTAGAACCCTACAAAGTATCAGCAAGAGTACGCTCCTTTCTGGAGGCTCTGAGGGAGAGTCTGCTTCCAAGCTCATTCAGGCTGTTGACAGAACTCAGTTCCATGTGGTTATAGGAATGAAGTTCTAGTTTCTTTGTTGACTGTTCTCAGCTTCTAGGGATTTCTGGTATTCCCTGGTTGTCAGGCCCCTTTGAAGCCAATAAGGGCAGCAAGAGTCCTCAGATTGCACATCTCTCCAACTTTCCCTTCTACCTCATCTCTCTTGCCTTGCTCTTCTGCTGCACCTGGTTCTTCCGCCCCTCCTCTTTTGCATTTAAAGGCTCATGTGATGACATCAATAACCAGAAAATCCAGGATAATCTTAGTTAAAGTTCAACTGATTAGTAACCTCATCTGCAAAGTCCCATCACAGCAGTGCGTAGCTTAGTGTTTGGTTAAATAACCAGGGGATCAGGATCTTGGAGGATGTCAGAATTTTGCCTACCACACTGCCTATATTCTCTATGAAGTTTTGAAGTTTTGTTTGGGGGCACTTGTTTGACCCGTAGTGTACCAAAATGCATGCAACAATGAGAAATGACTTGCCAGATTTTTTCACTGCATTTTTCTATCGTTAACAAGTATCTTAGAGTTGTTATGTTTACTTATAATAAGAATATCAATAGTGGAATTGTCAAGGTAAGCTCATCTTTTATTTTGTCTGGTTCTCAAAAATAATAGTAATGAATGACAGTGAGTCAGCTTTAAAAAAATTAAAAGATAATGAATGACTAATGAGAATACAGTTTGCTGTAAAGTGATGTCTGACTCAGATTTGATCTTAATGGTTCCAAAAGCTTTCCAAGAGGAATTTTCTTTGCATTGGACTGAAGAACATTTGGAGAATGAAAGAAATGTACTGTGAATCATTGGAGAAGATATTTAACACCATCTCACAGATATTTCTGATCTTAAATATTTCATGTGACAACTACTTCCTTAGGGGACCAGGTCAGAGGATTGTCACAATCCTGCTGAATATGATCTCAAACTGTTCAAAATAGGTTTTGCCAAATCAGGGGTCAAGATTATATATATCCCTTTTTTTAAAAAATTTTTTATTGTTCATCACCATACATTACATCATTAGTTTTTGATGTAGTGTTCCATGACTCATTGCTTGTGCATAACACCCAGTGCTCCATGCAGAACGTGCCCTCTTTAATACCCATCACCAGGCTAACCCATCCTCCCACCCCTCTCCCCTCTAGAAACCTCAGTTTGTTTTTCAGAGTCCATCATCTCTCATGGTTCATCTCCCCCTCAGATTTCCCCCCTTCATTCTTCCCCTCCTGCTACCTTCTTCTTCTTCTTTTTTTTTTCTTA